AGCACTCAGACAACCCTGACACCTCTGGGTGTGACTCAAGAGACGCGCCTGTGGTGAACGTACATCTTTTATGTGGTTCTAACCACACGAAAGTGGTTATCTTTTCTGATCTCCTCAGCAAGGCAGATGGTGTGCATTCATTTATCACCAGGGTACCCGACTTGCCCAAACGGTTGTGGCTTGACACAGAATTGCAGCCTACTCTTCGTTGGCCAGGGATTTGCAAGTGGCTTGTCTCGATGGCTCTGGCTGCGTGTATCTCATGAGGCCACAGAGAAGATGTTCCTGAGGGCCAAAGTCACCATCAGGCTTGTCTGGCCTGGAAAGCCAGCTACTGAGTCGGCTCCCTCCCAGGTTGGCGAGTTGGTGTGGTTTGTTGGTGGGAGGCTCCGTTTCTTTGCAGGAAGATCTCCCCACCGGGTCTTCCTGATGTGGCAGCTGGCTCTCTATGTGCCCCACCTCCCTCCCCAATCTACAGAAGTGGAAGAAACCAGGCCTTTTATGGCCCATCTGCATGACACTCTGTTCGTTAGCAAGGGGTCACCTAGACCAGACTGACCCAGGAAAGAATTAATCTCTGCATTGTGAAGGGTGACGTGTCCAAAAAAATGTGTGCCCATCTCTTACAACAACCGCAGGGGGGTCTCTCCATCTCCCAAACCCACTTCCCATGATGCTGCTGAGGCTCCCCTCACGGCTTCACCAGAGCCGTGCTTCCCTTGGGCGGCGTCTCTTGTTGGAATCACACGTGTGGATCCCATGGACAGATTGGGTCTTGAAGGAACAAGAACAGAGAATCCTGTCTTAAAGACAATATTCAATTAGAGACCAGGGGCCATGGGCCGAGTTGGGTGCAGGACCCTTTGAGGCGGGAAGGAGGGAGCGCTCCATTCCCAATATATCCAGGTAGCCAGGACCCCACTGCTCTATCCTGAGGCATAAAACAAGGCGGGGGGCGGGGGGGATCACCTTTTAATAATATCTCAACAAATCGTCTTGAGGCTGCGTCTTGTCATCTTGGAAATGCTCTTTCTCTAGGCCTTGGGGTTTCCTCTGATAAAAGATGACCCGTATTCTTTCTTGCCATTTGGTGCCATCTAGTTGACTTCAACTCTTTGTGACCCCATGTGACAGTGTAGAAATGCCCCACAGGGTTTAGTGGGTTGTCGCCTTTCCTGGGTCAGCCTGCCTGATCGTTGTACTGCAGCGCCCCTGGGTGGGTTGGTCCCACCAACCTTTCAGTTTGCAGCAAGGCACTTAGCCATGGCACCATGAGGATTCTTAGTGGTACCCCAAATGTCGGTCCATCGGGTCTACTTTGCCTTGAGTATCAATCAGAACCCCTGCCTTGAGGTCAGAGGATGCTACACCTCCTGTGTGGGCCGTGACCCTGGCATCCCAGGCAATGTGGCAAGGCTCAGTGCCCTGCTCCTCTTGCCGCCATAGTCATGCTGTCCTCTCCTCACTGCCGTCAAATCGATTCCAACTCATAGTGACCTGGTAGAGCATGTCTGAGGCTGTCAATCCTTATGGAAGCAGTGAGCCGCCACTTTCTTCCACAGAGCTGCTAGGGAGTTCCCACCGAGAACAGTCTGATGCTTACCCAACGCAGCTGCTGGGGGGGGTTCCACTGAGAACATTCTGACGCTTACCCAACTCAGCTGCTGGGGGCTTCCACTGAGAACAGTCTGATGCTTACCCAACGCAGCTGCTGGGGGGTCCCACTGAGAACAGTCTGATGCTTACCCAACGGAGCCGGCAGGGCTTGTTCATAGTGGTCCCCAAGATGACAAAGGAAAAGCCATCTTCTATTCTTCATCACACCTCATACAGGGGTGGTCTGGTTCTTAATGTCAACCACTCAGAGGCACCCCTAACCCCTAGCTCCCAGCCCAGGGTCCACTGGCTCAGCAGGGATAGATGCAACAGGGGCTGGCTCAGTTAGATCTCAACCCCAACTTTCAGCAAGGACTGGGTCAGCTTGTTTGCATCCCAGGGGCCTTGGGGCTTCCCAGTCATGGGGTTTAGTGGTGGACATTCCCAGTCTTGCTACTTCTTTTTTTTTAAGCCCTCCCCACTCTAGTCTTCAAATCTTTGGTGAGTCTCCTGGCATGTGAAATACCCCTGACATACCATCCGCATAGCACACAAGCCGCCGCAGGTCGACACACTGACAGCAAGCGGTGAGCAAATCATCAGAGAAGCAGGGCTAAAGAAGAGTGTGCCATCAGGATTGGGGGGAGGCTTATTAACAACCTGCGGTGTACAGATGATACAACCTTCTTGCTGAAGGTGTGGAGGACTTGAAGCCCTTGCTGATGAAGATAAAGGGTCGCAGCTTCCAGCGTGGCTTATGACTCAGTGTCAAGAAGACCCAAATCCTCACAACTGGACCCATAGGCAACATCATGATAAATGGAGAAAAGATTGAAGTTGTCCAGGATTTCATCTCGCTCGGATTTTAATCACGGTGCTGGCGAAGGATATTGAAAGTGCCGTGGACGGCCAAAAGTACAAACGACGTTGTCTTGGAAGAAGCACAGTGAGAATGCTCCTTAGAGGCAAGGATGGCTAGGCTTCACCTCACAGACTTGGACATGTTGTTAGGAAAGAGCAGTCTCTGGAGGAGGACACCATACTTAGTAAAACAGAGAAGCAGCTAAAAAGAGGAAAGCCTTGGATGAGATGGATCGACACTGTGGCTGCAGCAATGGGCTCAAACAGAAGAGCAATTGTGAGGCTGTGCAGGACCAGGTGGTGTTCCAGTCTGTTGCACAGAACTGACCCAACTGCACCCAACAGCAACAGCAACTCCAGCCTCTGAGTAAGTGTGATGAACAATGTGTCAGTCCCGGTAGACCAGATAAACAAATTCATGGACACTCATCTGTGCATAAGAGTTTTGTATACAAGAGCAATTGAATACTGAGAAAACATCCCAGCCCAGATCAAGTCCAAAAGTCCGATATTAGCCCATATGTCCAATACCAAGCTACAAATTCCTCTTCAGACTCAGGCAACACATGCAATGATGCCAAATGCAGGAAGATCACAGGCCAGTGGGTGGGAAGTCTTGTGGATCCAGTGGTGGTGGAAGCATCTCAGCGCTGGCAGGGTTCTCCGGGTGGCTCCTTCAGCTCCAGGGCTCTAGCGTAGCTCCATGTGTCTTCTCAACAAGAATGTCTCCCAGGGAGTGAGCCCGTGTCCCGCCTCCAGTGAGCTATTTATCTCCTTAGCGCCTCCAGATGAGGTCATCAAGCTGCGAGCTGATTGACAGGCTAACCTCCACCCCTTCACAAGTTGACACCAGATTATGTAACGACCACAAACATGTATTCCTTGCAGCTTCAGGCACTCCCAGCACAGGAGGTTTTAGGCTTGAAAACTTTGTAGGTGAAGGAGCGAGAGGGCTGTTCTCACGTGAATGTTACACAACAGACATGAGCCAGGACCCAGCCCTTATCGTCTGAAGAGCAGGGTTAGAATCCTTGTTCAGTGACTTGCCCTTCTTTGCTGACATTTACATCTGTTTAGAATGTGGGCTACACTAAGCCACTGTAAAGATGAAATGGAAAAAGCTGCATCTGCCCTTAGATGGCTCTGGGAGCTTCAACCTGCCCGCAACTCTCCATTGCTACGTCCTAGACACTTGGCGCTCGAGCAGCCAACCTCTGATGGATGGATGCAATTTGGGGTTCTTAGGTTGTGAGACTTCTGTTACTTCTGAAGGACAGTAAAGTGAATCTCTCTCTCCCTTTCCCCCCAAGTTATATGGGTAAGTATATTCAAAAATTATTTATCAGCACCTACTGCACACAGAAGCAAATAACCATGAAATTCCAGTGCAGGTGGACCAACAAAACGTAAGCTAGATCTAAAGTGCTGTCTTTAAAACACAGGTTGTATTTTGAGGCAATTAAAATTCTTTCATTTTTGAAGGCTCAAACTAAAAAGCACGAAAAACACATACAGGATCATTATTCTGTAATTGTTCTATTTTGTTCTAAGAAGACTCTTTTTCACAGACATATAGTGAGCTGATCAAATTTATACTTGAGACATTTATCTATACTCAACCAGAAAATTTAGAGGCCAGTTAGTCTCAACTTCGATTAAATAAAAGCATTCTCCGAAAACTCTGAAATCACAACTCTTCTATGTCCCTCCTTAAGAAATGCGTAGTCTTTTAAGTAGCCAGCAATCAGCAATAAATAGAGTTTGCTGAGCGTAGAGGTACTCTGGTTCATGTGCATCCAGAATGGTGTTGCCAGCAGACCAGCGCAGCATGACTCAATCTGAGAGCAATCATCACCAACACAGGGTGAGCACTTTCTTTCTCAATAAGGAAGCTAGTCCCAACAGAAAAGTGGGTGAAGGGAGACGTCGGACAGTGTAAGACATGACAAAATAATAATAATTTATAAATTACCAAGGATTCATGAGGGGTGGCGAGGAAAAATGAGGAGCTGATACCAAGGGCTCAAGTAGAAAGCAAATGTTTTGAGACTGTAAAATGGCCTGACACAATGGATGTACGTATAGATTGTGATAAGACTTGTATGAGCCCCCAATAAAATGACCTAAAAAAAAAGAAAGAAAGCGAGTCCAAAAAGGTCTCAAAACTCTATACAGATGAATCACAGGGAAAGGAACTTAGTACCACTGACCAACCTTGCTTTTTACTCTTTGCCTTAGGGACTGATATCTCACTAAAAATTGTTATCGAACAGAACAGAATGACGCTTGCAGAAGGAACTATTGTAGTGACAATACTGAGGTTGATTGTTAGAGACATATTAAACTCTTTGAGTACGAAATGGTAACATCTTATTTATGTAGAACATCGGTTCCACACCGTGGAAATGGAGAGCAGCCCCTGGGAAATCTCTCGCTCAATGTTCAGAGATGAAAAGGTTAACCATTCTTTCCATTGTTTTCTGTAGGTAAGCTTTTTTCCATATCAAAATCTGATGGCACTTGGTTTCTGGCATTTTTACAAGCTACTGTGTGAACAGGAGGCTGAATGGCATCACTCTACAACATACAGCGACATGAGGACTCTTCCGTACACCAGTTGTGGCACACTTCCTAAATACACCCCACAGTCCAGTTTTATTTCTGTCCAGGACATTGAGAGTCAAGGATGGAATATAAGCACAGGTACATAGGCACAGCAAGATGACAGTCAACAGACCGTAAACGTTGAAAACAGCAGACACAGTGAGGCGGGGGATACCCAGTCACAGCACCCTTCCAGCCCTGGGCCGAAAAGGCACACATGCCCCTCTGCCCGTCTTGTTCTCTCTCACCATTGAATCACACACACACACACACACACACACACACACCCTCCTTAAAACCCCACTGTATGTGAACTATAGAAGCAGTGGGGCCTGCAGACTGGACGATGGTTGTCAGGGTCATGGTTTGTTTTTCTTTCCTCCAGCACCCACCAGGGACTTTGGAAGCACCAAGAAGCTCAAGAAGGTGTTTGCCAAGAAGGTTCTCAAATGCCCCACTGAAGAATGAAGCCCTTAAAATTTTTGATTTTTCCCTCCTTTTTCACTCTAATGAGCGGTATCCCCCAACCCCACTGCCATCAAGTCAATTCTGAGTCCTAGTGAACCCACACAGGCTTCGGAGCCGGGAAATCATTATGGGAGCAGACAGCCCCATCTAGGCCATGAGACGCGGCTGGTGGGTCTGAATTGCTCGCCTGCATTGTGGTTATAGCAGCTCAATGCCTAACCCATGGCACCACCAGGGTCCCTTCAAATAGTAGTAGGTATTTTTAAAGGGGTGAATTAAGTAGCAAAATGATGTGTTAAACAAGGAGCATTTATCAGGTGCTTCCCCTGCACAATGTACTTGACAGTGTATCCATTCACCCCTCACAGCAGTCCTCTGGGATGAGTCTCTCTATAAAAATGGGGAACTGAGGCTTCAAGGGGTTAAATGGCTTCTCAAGGCCACATGCCTAATAATGGACTGAACTGGAAGTCTGAACCCCAGAGCCTTTGCCCTCACCCATCTCTATAAACTGCTTTCTAGAAACAGCATCCTTTTACATATTGTTATGTTTTGGCAAGGGGAATTCTATTTTTAATATTTAATCTGAGGATGAGCACGCATCTTCCAAACGCACACCCCGATGCACAGATCTGTCTTAGCCATAATGGTGGGTATCAAAAGCCCTTTCACTCAATTTGGATGCCTGGCCAAAAACAACATGCACACATAAAAATTTGGTTTGAGCATGAAAACAGGTTGGAAATATTGCTCCCAATACCAACAGTTGGACTTTTGGCTTATGAAATACTTCAGGGGGAAAGTATTTGCTTGAATCTCTGTCTGCTATTATAGTTGGAGGTTTGGCTATAGTATTTGCCCTTCCCCTGAACTCTCTGGATTTCAAAAACACGTGGAAGTGTGGTTTGTCTCATGTATGAAAAAGGAGGCCAAAAAAAAAAAAGAAAAAGGAGGCCAGGCAGCTTGTGAGGAACTGACATCGAGCAGCGCATGCAGCTCAGTGTCTGTCACTCGGAGAAGGCTCGCCAGAGGGACTGCGGACCCAGTGCTGTACGCAGACGCAGCCGGCTGGCTGCTGGCCACTCTCTTGCTCAGGCTGCCTGGCCGCCCCTCACCTCCAGCCCCTCTGCAGGGGCGGGCAGGGCGGGCAGGGCGTTGTCACTTGCTCCACGTTGATGTTGATGTGGGCTCCCCCTCTCTCCTTTCGGTCTGAATGCCGAGTTCCTTCCTGTTTGGGGGCTGAGGGTTTTGTGAGCCCTGCTCCCCGTTTCCACCCGGCTTTCCCTCTGAGGAGCGATCTTGGCTTTCTGGGCTGCCATCTTCCACGTGGGACAAGCACAGATGGACACAGCGGCGGTTCAAACATCCGAGCTGGAAACACAGGGAATCCAGGACAGATAAACCCCTCAGGACCAATAACGAGAGTGGTGATACCAGGAGGGGAAGGGGAAGGTGGGGGAGAAACGGGGAACCGATCACAAGGAGCTACATATAACCTCTTCCCTGGGGGACGGACAACAGAAAAGTGGGTGAAGGGAGTCAGTGGTCGGTGTAAGACATGAAAAAATTTAAAATAAATTATCAAGGGTTCATGAGGGAAGGGGTAGAGGGGGGAAATGAGCTGATACCAAGGTCTCAAGTAGAAAGAAAATGTTTTGAAAACGATGATGGCAACTATGTCCAAATGCGCTGGACACGATGGATGGATTGTGGTAAGAGCTGTAAGAGCCCCCAGTAAAATGATTAAAAACAACTAGGGGCTCCAGCCTCAGGACAGTTGTGAGGCAGCCCAGGCCCGGCAGTGGTTCGTAGGCGGCCGTGCGTGGGAACTGACTTGATGTGCCCCACAGGGAATTCAAACAACCAGAAGCACATGAAGAAGGCAAAAACAGCCCCTGCCCTCAACCACACATGTCCCTGGGTGGTGCAGACCATGAAGCGCTCAACTGTAGCCCAACAGCCGCAAGTTCAAACCCACCCAGAAGCCCCGCAGAAGGCAGGCCCGTTGATCTTATCCCAGAAGGTCGCTTGCAGGCTTGGGAGCCCCACGGAGCAGCTCTGCCGGCACACGGCACACGTGGGGTTGGCGTGAGTCAGAACCGCCTGCACAGCAACCTGAGACCTCAACCGGACCTCGATCCGCCCGTGCGGGGAGCTTCCTGGTTTCATGCGCACGCACACAAAACGGTTGCTTTCAGTGGACTCTGGTGGAGACCGACCCCCAGGTGGGTCACGGTCGACCTGTGTGCTGTGGGATGTTCGACAGCTAATTTTTCTGAAGTGGATCGTGAGGTCTTTCTTCTATGGAGTCCTGGTGGATTTGAACCTTCAACTCTCAGGGTAGTGCCAGCCACGTCAACTGTGTGCACCACCCGGGGACTTCTTGTGTAGCATATATCACACACACGAAGGTTTTTCTAGTTAAGATCACACCGAGTTTCCCCCTCTGTCTGCTCTGGGCACATACCCGGTGCGGGTAGCGAGTTGCACACCACCCTCTATAACTGGCTGTGTGAAGTGCCGACTTCACCAAGTCATGGTGATAATCCTACTAAGACTGTGCTCTGATAAGAACCAAGCTGTTAAGTTCTTCAGGGTTAATGCCAAGGAAGACGCGGTCACGGTTGTTGGCAGATGTCCTGGGCCCCCAGAATGACAGCAGGTGAACTGATTTTGTGGGCCTGTGCTCTGACAGATAAGGTCGCCCTGAGTTGGCGTGGACTCGAGGGCCGTGAGTTAGTGAGTTAGTGGATCTGGTTTGGTTTGGGAGGGAGAAGTGCAATGTTCCTGAAGACTCCCTCCTTTCCTCATAGCCCATGGGGAGGACTCTTGCAAGCCTAGGAGAGGGACCCTCAGGATAACTGACGACGTTTGTGGTGACTGCAGGACGGGCAACGGAGGTGTTGTTCAGCTCAGTAAGCCCCAGCTTGCTGACCTGTCTCCATGTTCCCAGAGCCGGAATGGGATGAAGAATGGGGATCAGAGGAATAGGGGTGATCTGTTAGAGAGGGGCAAGCATTCCTTTGAGATTTCAGACCCTGAGTCCTAGGGGCTCTCTGCCACCTGGCTGGACCCTGGCTGGGGTGGCAGAGGGAAGGAATATAGGCCAGGGGGATGGTGTCCATGGGAGACCATTATATTGTGATGCCAGGGGGTACTCACATCACAGAAGTGTGGAGCTTGGCCCCTGCTGGCGACAACAGAGATGTAGCCAATGTCTCCAGGTCTACCAGTGCCTGTAAGCCGCTTGGGATCGAGTCCTTCCGCAGCAAAGTCTGTTGAGGCCTCCATTGGGCTCCATCTGGTCTGCACTAAGTCTGGGGACGACTTAGTGCACATGAGTGGTGACAACCAACAGAAAGGGAACAGCAGCCACACTCACTCCAAATGGTCACCTTGGGGGATGCCTGCTTCTCATGCATGCTTCTCTCTGCCCTGACCCTGAGGGGGGGAGCTCAGCACAGGGAAAGGTGTGCATGGTGGGAAGTCGGCAGAACAACGAGACCACACACACACACACACACACACACACACACAGCCTCTGAGCTTTTGTAGGAGTAACTCCTTTCCTACACACGTTTAGTCATTTCCAACGTTCTACTGTTATAAAAAGGTTAGGAAACTCTGTATGCAAACATTTTGATCATGTATCTAATTATTTTCTTATGATTAATTCCTAGTGGGTGACTTCTGGGGAGAAGGATTTAAAATAGAATCAAATCTGGAATATGTTGAGGCTAGCATTGTGGTATGTTGTTCGGTTCCAGCAAGTCAGTTCCCCTCCTAGCGACCTTATGCACAACGGCACGAAACACTGCCCATCCCGCGCCGTTCTCACAATCGTTCCTGTGCCTGAGCCCATCGTGGGCAGCCACTGTGTCAAACATGGCAGCACAGTAAACGGAGGAAGAGACAATGTGTAAACTTGGATGGAAAGTCCAGGGACCTATCAACCAGCAAGGAAGTTAGAAGCAAACCCACTGCCATTGTGCAGACCCAAGCCAAGCTCACGGTGAGCCCTCAGGACAGAGCAGAGCTGCCCTCTAGCATGTCTGAGACTATCAATCTTTATGGGAGCAGGAGCCGCTGGTGGATTTGAACTACCGACCTCTCACTGCCGGTGCTTCACCCACTACACCAGCAGAGCTCCTTATTCAGTAATAGGTATAATGTGTTTGAAGACAATGCATTCCTTAGAAGGTCCTCTGGTGGAAATCGATGAGATGGACAAACTGTTACCTTACCAGATGAAGACCTTACTGATGGAAGTTTATGAAGGAGCCCTCAGAAGTGGCCCTCTTGGTGAACTGCTAATAGGAACGCCAATTGACCTATCTTTTTGGTGGGCAATTTAATGAAGCCCTTCACCAGGAGAATGCACAGGCCCCTGGACTAAGGAATTCTACTCGTTGGAATTTATTCTGCGGAAATTACAGAATTGCTTACCCATGATCACAAGGTACAGTGACTAGAAGGTTCACACCGGAATGTTTGTAACCCCCCCCCCCCAGTGTCTGCCAACTGAGGGAGGGGGGATGCTACTCCAGTCCATTATATCCACCCCCTTTCCCCACACAACGGAAGCTCACACAGCCATTAGCCTAATCAATTGTATCAATATGGGACAGTTCTAGCACATATTGCTAGTATATTCTTTCCTGTCTCGGCCTTGACTCTAGATAGAATGAAAATAGTATCCCCCGAGAGCACTGAGCTATAAGCCTGTATTAAGCTGCATGGAGAGCATTAATAAACGCAAGGTCCAGCAGGGTGTGCATGGCATGCTCATGCATTTGAATAAAATGTCCTCCCCTTGAAAATGCACAGAATATTTCTAGAAGCCTGCTGAGAAAATGGCTGCAACCGTTGTTTCTAGGAGCAGGAGAATGAGAGGACATCGACTTTGGAAACGGTTAAACTAATAAATGACTCAAATACACGTGAGCAGTTGACTAGAGAGAGGCACTTCTGGCTTCCTGTCAATTTCCCTCCATTTGTCCTCCCGATCCTGCCATGACGGAGAAGCCAGAGGCCAAGGAAGGAAAACCTCTTATTCCAAAGACTCTTGTCTACAGGGCACAGCTTTTTCTTGAGACAAAACTGGCCTTCCAATTCCAGAGTCCCACGTTCCTTCAGGCTCCTCCTGAGGGATCTGAAAACATGAAGCCTTCTGGTAGACTAAGGGGTCAGGGGGCCTGGTTCAATGCCTTACTGATCAGTGAGGTGTCCTTTCTAGTGATGCAGCCGAGTAAATGCCCACAGATCTTACCAGAACACTGAAAATTGCTGAATAAAATACAAAAAAAAAAAGAATAATGGATGGCTGGGTTGGCAGGAAACAAACATTCAGAGGCCGGAAATAATGAAGGAAAAAAACTCTACCAGGATAAGTGAGTGCTGGAGTTGGCACTGGCCTTTAGAACCAACAGGTAAAATTGATTAGGACCCAAAACAAGCAAGCAAACAAAGCCCAACTCACTGCCGCCGAGGGACATCTGACTCCTAAGGACCATGGAGGACAGACTAGAACAACCTCTCTGGGTTTCTGAGGCTGTAACTCTTTTGGGAAGCAGAAAATGTCATCTTTCTCCGTCAGACCCATTGGTGGTGTTGACCCTGGTGCGTAAACCCACTGTGCCAGCTGGGTTCCTTGCAGTCAGTTTGGAGACCCTCAAATAAAGCTGAGCCCCTTTAATGCGTGAATACAAAGAATACCTGCTCCATGGAGAAAGACTTCCTGCCTTGGCTTTAGCTCTGGGTGGGATGGAAAAAGGACCCCTGAGAGTACTGAACTGTAAACCTGTGTTGGGCTAGATGCAGAGCATAAGAGACAGTCATGCTACAACTATAGGTTAAAGGAGTAATGGATCCTTCCACCATATTTATTCAATCTGTATGCGGAGAAAATCGTCAGAAAAGCTGGCTCATCTGAAGAGAGTGTGGCATCAGGACTGGAGGAAGGCTTATTCACAACCATGCGATGCCGAGATGACACGCTTGCTTGCTGAAAATGAGAAGGACGGAAGCCTTCAATGTGGATGACAACTCACTGTAAATAAAACCCAAATCCTCACAGTCGGACCTGTAAGTAACATCATGATACATGGAGAGAATATTGAAGCTGTTAAGGATTTCATTTTTCTTGGGTCACAAGTCAACGGAAGCAGTAATCAAGAGATCAAAAGACACATTATATAGAGTAAATCTGCACAAGACCACGTTAGAGCAAAAAATTAACAAAGAGATTAAAAAAAAGAACTCAAGAGAATTTAGGTAAGAAATTAAAATATAATAAAAATTACAAATTTAAAGGACTGGTTAAACAACACATTATACACAACTGAAGTGTGGAATCAGTTACTGGAAGGAAAAAGTGGGATGAGGGGAGGGGTGTGTGGAAAGGCAAACTGGTCGTAAAACGTTTTCAAGCCTCATACATAGCCATGTTGTTTCTAAGGAGGTATTTCACCACCTCAGCATCCCTCTCTATTGCAGGGCAGGGCGGGGAAATAACATTGCATATCTCTTGCCTTCTTAGGTTCAATGCTTTCAATAGTTGTTTTTTCACCACAGGAAGGAAGTCAAGTTTGCCTCAGGGGAAACCGATGGAAGATTCTAGCAAAGGCTGATGATAAGAAAGCTGGTAGTGCCTGCTGTCTGGTCTGCAGCCAGCACAGCAGTGGTGTCACTGGGAGTGTGTGTGTAGGGGTGGGGGTGGAGATGGGGGTGGCTTGGGCACAGTCAGGTGACACTATCAGAGGGGTGACACCAACATGCCTGTTTCTAAAATTTCTTACAGTGTTTCAGCAGGTTTTTGAGTGAGTTATGACAACATAATTGTTTGGGGGGCGGGGGCCCAGTTGCTATGTGTGACTTTACCTGTAAGGCTGACACTCCACGTGGATTTTCTTTTTGACTCTTCTAATGCACACTGGTCAGAAGTGTCGTTCTTGTCCAATCACTGCGTGTGTTGAACCACGGGGTTTCATCTGTGGGTGTCACCAGCAGGCACTGTTGTGGTCCCTGCTGTCTGTGTTTTTATGTAGTCACAGATTTGGTCAATGTTTCTGGTGTTTTAGTTGCACAATCGTGGGAAGTAGCATTTGTGAACCTGCATCAAGAGCTTTCTGGAGAATGAAGTCACACTTAAAACAAAGAGCCAAATATAA